AAACCCTAAACCCTAAACCTCCCGTTTGACTTGTAGACTGCCGTGCGATAGCTGGCAGGAGATCAAACAGCGCCTGTGGTTGAAGTTTGTAAAGGCTAAAGGGAGATACATGGGGGATTAACTCAGGGATAATAGACAAGAAAGTGGAAACTACTGTTTTGGGTTTAGGGTTTAGGGTTCAGTGTCTCAGGATTTGGGATTTTGGGTGTATGGTTTAGGCTTTCCGGGTGTAGGGCGCAGATTTAGGGCTTCGGGATGTGGGGTCGCTCACCACCCAAGCCTCGAGCTCCATGTAGTTGCCACGATTTACAAACTTTACACCCTAAAACGCAATACCAACGCCACAATCAACATTTTGAACGCCAGGCCCTAAGATCCTAGAAAAAATCAGCTCCAAACCCTGCTTCCCAAGACAGATCTGCATTCGCAAAAGGCGCAGCGAGCCGTCGCGGACATTGCCAGCTTCCTGAAGGAGAAAGAAATCAACACGCCACCCGCCCAACAGCTGGCCGGTGCTCAAGGGGGAGTTGGGTAGTATTTTATTTGGGGCTACTATGGTACTCATTGGGTAATATTAGGGTTTGTATTGAGATAATGGAAAATAAAATGGAAACTACTATTTAGGATAATAGGGTATAAGAGCTATAGTCTAGTTGTTTTATTTGGGGGTACTATTACTATGGTACCCAATATAGAGTAAGATTACATCCTCCTTTTGGGTATAGTATTTTATATAAGGGATATTATCTTACTAGGTTCAACCACCAAAAACAACACTACTCAGTTGGGGAGGGAATGTGGAGTTTATGGTTGAATTGGGGTTGTCAGGGGTTCAGTCTTCCAATCACCCTAAACACCAGTAAGAAGAGGCTGAGACAGGTTAGCTTGGTTGGTGTTGGGGATCGAGTTTCGTGTCCTCTTCAGCCTCCGTAGTCAGGGACTTGCAAGAATCTGTTCAGCAACCTAGCATGGAAATCCCGTGCATCCCCTTTCTACCATGCCAATACATGCGGGTAATGTCGCCTGTGGAGCCTTGGTTTTTGGTTGAGATTTCTAGGCATTCAGAGTTTGGGGGTAGGGTTTGAGCTGTAAGGTCTCTATTTGAGGTTTCGATCACGTGTAAGAGAACTCATAGAGACAGAAGTAGCAGGGGAACATAACATCTCCATGGGCAGCGGGCGTCGGACAGGAAATGACTTGCAAAGGTACTATGGGGGACTTTAGGAAGTAGATTTGTAATGGAGATAAGTGGGGTTACTATATAGGCTATAGGGGGTTATCAGCCTACTGTCTACGTGACCCTGACCCCAAAAAGTAGGTAATTGTTCAACAGAGCTGTGCCCTAAGTGGCCATAAGATAAGTTACCTTTTGCAGCTTGTGTTCTCCCTCTGAGAAGGTGTCTGGCGAATGTTCCCTCCTTTACCAGGACAGTTGAAACAACCTCTGCCTAGCGATGCTAGTTTCTAAGAGTTATGTGGCCCATTTTCGTTGGGTTGAGCCCAAACCTTGTGTCACCCAATCTAAATTCAATCGGCATGCGACAGAGGCCTTGAACCTTGAACCTTACATACCACTAGCTACTATATGGGTGGTTGTCAAAATGATGGTCCCCTTTTGGGGTACCCTAAGTATTAGGTGCCGTACTATAATACCCATATACCTCTAGACATTCCCTGCAACCTTTAGTTTCAGTCTGGAAGCGCTCTGCCTGCATTGCTTGCTGACGTGCACCGAGGCGCTTCTCCATCCATCCTGTTGCGGGTCGAATGCCCGGACAGATGAATGCTACTTGGCCGCAGCATGGGGAATCCGGTTTACCTCGAAACCCTCAACCCCAACCTCGTAAACACAGCAGTGCTGTTGCAGGTGTTTATTGAGAGTGTAAAACCTTGCGGTACCTAATCTCCCAAAGGCCCATAAACTGGCCTATGTACCGATGATTGTGGGGTTGAAGGTTGCTTGTATAGGTTCTTTAGAACCCCTTGGCCAGATGTTTTGAGCGAGGATTCACGCTGGGGTCGGAAACAGCTGGGAATTTGCGGATTTCGAGGGTACCTGCGATTTCTGTTCGTATATCGTCTGGATACCCACGGGGTCGTGCAAGTATTCTTAAACTGGCCAAAAAACCTTGTAAGACTTGTAAAGCTGGCAAGAGGGCACGCTGACCACGTAACGCAACCTCCATTCAGTGCGCCTAAGGGTTTTGAATTTAGGGGTGTAGGGTTTAGGATTTAAAGCCCTCAAGTCAAGCCACCACACCCATTACACCACTATTAGCCCCTCATAATCCCCTCATCACTGTAAACCCCTCAGCAAGACACAGCCTTGCCCCCCCCCAGAAACCCCAAACCCTGCAAACCTCCAACTGCCACAAGCCACCAACTGGCCTTTGGTTTGCTAGGCAGGAAGGAATGGATCCTTATAGTAGTCCGTATAAAGCCGATTGCAGTAGTTTCCATTCTCTTGTCCATTCCTTCATTCCCAGCTAACCAATGGTAAGGCAAACTTCATCCCCAGCGCAGGTTCTCCTCGCAGAAGCAGGTGTCCCCTACGCGTCTTGGGCTGTCCTAAAGCAATTATATGGCTTGCCTTCTATCATTCCGAAATCCTAAGCAGCACTCAGGCTTGTGATTTTATTAGCAGGAATCAAGGGCAGGTAGAGTTCAGTAATGTGTGAGCCCAGTTATTGGCCTATGATCTTTTTCCCATGTTCGCGGCTATATCCTGCAAAAAGTTATTCGAAGCATGCAGGTCCCTGTATTATTGCTGCGCTCAAGCGCCTAGAGCAAGGGAAGGTGAAGGGCCATGTTTTGTTCAAACAAGATCCTACTGATCCCACCTAAGGCTTGACCCACCCTGGTTAGAAGGTCGGGACTTGGTAAACTAAGCCAAGTAGGGGGATTTATAAGCCCTTAGAACCGGCCCCGAGAAATCAGGGTCAACCTGGGATATTCAGGCATAGGGATAAGGGTATGGGTGTAGGTGTCACTTAAGGATTCAGGGTGTTGGGGCTCGGGATTCAGGGGCTTGGGGTTTATGGGTCGTAAGGCTTATGAAGCGCAGGCCTGGCAGGAGGAACCCGCGAAACATGATGCTCAGATCACACGGGTCCCCGTGTTGGGTTTCCAAGTTCGGAGAACAAACTCCAATATGAGATAGAGGTTTCGACATACAGCCCTGCTTCGTGTTACCTAAAGGCTCAGGAGACGTTGTAAGTAGGTTATACACGGGAGCAGAAGTCCCCCAAATGTGGTGAGTCTGCTTTGCAGCCTCATTTATAACCTACTTTCTAAGTCCCCTGAGCCTCCAAGCAGGGAATGACGGTAAGCCTCAGTCATCGGACAGAATTTCGGAGCCTCTAACGTTATAATCAATACGTAGTCATGAATGTCCTTTGCAAGAAGCCAGCGGCACAGAGGACGAGCGTTCCGCTACTTCTGGACTCACACACCTTAGATTCCCAAGTTCTTCCCGAAACCCCTAAACCCCTAAAGCCTAACCCCAAAAATGCAGGGGCCGCGATCCCCAAGGTCCGAGCTGCTTGACATAAGCCCTAAACCCTAAAAGGCTATATTGGGGTTCTATAGGGGAAATAACGGTATAATGGAAAAGAAAATGGAAACTACTACTTAGGGTTTAGGGTTTCGGATTTAAGGTTTATGGTTTGTTCTCCAAATTACGGGGTTTCAAGGGGAACTATATAGGGGTTATATAGGTTTAGTGGAAAATGGAAACTACTACTTGGGGTTTAGGGTGTAGACCCTGACCGCGGAATCCCTGCACACCCTAAGCCACGAATCTTCAAGCTACTAAGCCCTCGAATGCCTGAACCCCCAAGCCTAGATAGGAAAACACTCAAGTCATAACCAGGTTATAAGTTATAACCTCTTCCCCTTATAGTTACTATTGTGCTACTGTAGAAAACACCACCCTGAACCCTAAACCCTGAACCCTGAGCCCTAGGCCCCAAAGCCCCAAACCCAAAAACCCTAAACCCCAAAAGTATGTAAAATAATAGCCCTAAACCCCCTAATGATAGCTACAAAGGCCATTATTTCACATATTTTTGAGGTCCAAACCCTAAACCAGGGTCCCAGCCCCAAGCAGAGGACTGGGTGCACGAGATGGATGAGGTCCAGGATGACATGTCCAACGTGGACGTGTGCCTAGTGGTAGGCCAGGTGAGATGTGGCTGATTTAGGGTTTGGGGTTGCGGGTTTGGGTTTAGGGGTTTTGGGGCTTTTGGGTTCAGGGTTTAGGGGTTTAGTGTTTAGGGGTTCAGGGTCTTGGGTTTTGGGGTTTCGGGTTCAGGGTTAGGGGTTAAGGGTTTAGGTTTGGGGGTTTAGGGTGGGCGGGTGGATGATTTTTTTGAGTCCCAAAGAACGGAGTCGATATTTTTTCAGTGAAGACTTCCGTCTCCAGTAGAGAGTAAGATTGTATCCTGCTTGGGGTTATAATCTTTGATAAGAACAAAATAACCTTACCCGGCTCAACATAACAAGCAATCCTCAGGTGTGATATGCGAAATTCTTGAATGACATTGGGGACACTGGCAGTCGGTGGATCGTGTAAAGAGTCTGGTGTTTGACAAAGCTAGGGTCGTCATGGATGCCCCCGTATTCTTATTACCTGGACTACTACCATCAGTCTTATTGTCATCACGTTCTTCGCAATGTATGCAACAACCCTAAACCTGTAACCCAAAACCCCTAAGCCCTAAACCCGTAAGCCCTAAACCCCTAAACCATAAACCTTTTTCCAGGCAGCCGCTAGTTTGAAGTCTCGGGGCCCGCCATGGTAGGCTACACAGTCAGACCCCGTTCGCAGGACGCAACCGCTTCATACCTGGGGGGCTTGAGGGTTTAGGGGTTTAGGGTTTGAAGTGTAAGGTGTAGAGTTTAGGGTTTGGGGTTTAGGGTAGATTCACCCTTACAGCAACAGGTACCAACAGAAGTACTAGGAGCCCCTTCGTGCAACACCCTTTAAGGACAGGTAATTGGCAGTTTAAGGCCTTTAAAGCCCTTTGGCCTATTCGAATCCTATGACCCTTTGTGACAGAGACTTTTGAATGCAAGCTTGGAGCAGGTGCGAACGACATCACCAACGAAGCAGCAGAGGTGGATGAGGAGACACTGCGAATTTTGATTTTGGGAGGCTTCTCAATTCAGAAGGGCAATGCCCGCAAGAATACGTGGGTATGACAGGGGTCTGGGGGGTGGTTCTCCTTAAGGATTCGAGATGGTATTTGGCATTCCTGATGCATCTTTCTGTTTGATCCTGAAGCCACTTCAGCTTTTCCGCACGTGGTCCACGTAATTATGCCGAAAGTAAAAGGACGGTAGTCGCTCTGGGGCCCTGTTCGGGGGTCCCCGTTACTTTGGGCGATGATCAATGGTAGATTCCTCTTTAGCCCACCCCCGTTCAACTCCCCCCTCACATCCCCTCACCTCATAATAACAACATTGCCAATACAGTTCCCATGTGTTGGGGAACACGCATTCATGATTAGGGGGCGGGGAGGTTTTATCAGCCCTATCTAAACTTTACATGCCAGAACAGCACTTTGCTTTTATTTTCCATGTCCTTCATAGCCTTATATATCTACCCTTCTGGGAGGGCCTATCATTAGGGGGACGGATTGTTACCCTAAACCCCAATCTTTCCACCGAAAACCCTCAAACATGTGCGAAACCTTCAGCCCTAGACCTTCAACCCTAAACCTTCAACCCTAAACCCTTAAACAAGCTCCAAACCCTACTAGTAGCCTACTAGGCTCGAAAGATGATCCAGCAACCACTCGGCTACAGTATCCCTGTGCGCCTCCTTGGGGGGGTTTACCAAAATTAGGGGTGGGGTTATGTGAACTATAGTGAAACCCCTTCAAGGGGGCTATATAGGGGGTTTTATAGGGGACTACTATAAGGGTCATTCAGGGGGATACTAGGAGTGTAGATTATGGGTCATGTAAGGATGTATGGGGTTTAGGGTTGTGGGCCTATAAAATTTCAAAAGCAAAAGTGATGGATACTTATTTGGATTCCTAGACTACAGACTAGAGCCTGTCATGCCAAACGGGATCCCTACCTTAAACCCTAAACCCCAAGAAGCCCTCATTATCATTCCTCGGCGAGTGCCAGCACTGGAACGAAAGCTGGAAGGACTTTTGAAGGTATACCCGCGGTATGAGGTACTTAAGCACATGCAGGATTTGTAGTATCCACCGTCAGTAGCCCAAATCTATGCTTCCACTTGCTGGCAAGGACTGCTCCATCTACGGCATGCCTGTCGTCAAAGTGTGGGAGGCCAGGCACTTGTGTGAAGATAGTCCAGGGTCAGGGCTTTGGGCATGTGATTTCATTGGGTTCACGCTTCAAAGGGTTGCAATAAAGCTGATGGTAGTTAAGTTAAATACGAGCCCTCGTAGTTTAGGATCTTGATGTCGCAGTTAAACCCGTGATCGTTTTCTTCAGGGTTACTAATCGATTATGTGATATAGGGCCTAAACAATTATCATTATCATGGTCCTAGATTTCTTGTAGTTCAGGGTTTGGGGTTTACCCTAGGGTTTAGGGTTGAGCGGTGCCTTAGATAGACCTACAAAAGTAGTGGAACTTACTTAAGCTCCTACATTGGCCAGCAAGCCGGCCCACAATTATGCGAACCGGGGTCTTAGGGTTTAGGGCTTAGGGTTTGGGGTTTAGGGTTTAGGGCGCAGGGTTTGGGACCCTCAGCCCTAAACGCTAGGCCCTAACCTAAACCCAAGCCCTGCAAACCCTAAACAGAAACTGCCTCGATTATAGAAGTCACTTCTCAGGTATACGAAGACAATCCGACTTGTTGCGGCTCCTTCTATTAGGGTCTAGGGTTTCGAGATTGCCCTAGGGATCCAAATAGCCCAGTGTAGGTAATTATCGACTTCAGGGCCCAGTGTGGGCATTATTTTTAGCCTTGGATCCCCAGGGTCAACATGGCTACGATGCAAGGTCAGAGCTTCAGAATCCACCTTATCCTCCTCATCTCCTCCCGCTAAGTAATTAACCTTTCCAACATGGTTCGGTTGTGTATATATATATATATAGATGGGGGGGGGAATATTTAGCATTAGGGGGTGGGGGGAGGTTTGCGACTAGGGGAAGATGATGAGTCCAGGAATGACACAGGAGAGTAATTACCTCGTATGAGCTACTGAGCTGTTCTGTCAATATTAGGCTTACCAAGCGACCATTAAAGGCGGACATTGGGGTCCCTTTGGTAGTTTATAGTATAGCCCCTAATATTTGCCCTAATAATTAGGAGCCTCTGTCTAGTAATTATGTGGAATGGCTGTAGCTCAAATAAGCCAAATAAATGTAACCAAAAAGGCCTGATATACCCTGGGTATTCCGATCGCACACAACACCTCTAGGTGTCCGTGCAGTCCTTAGAAATGAAAACCCTGAACCCTAAACCCGAAACCCCTAAATCCCAAAACCCTAGACATGCCGCTAATGGGAAGCCGCACTGCAAGTGTCCAAAGGCTAAGAACTGCATCTACCTCAAGCGGTCTATGGCTGGAGGCAGGTTCAGCGTTTAGGATTCTGGGATTAGGGATTGTTAGCCTGGATTGGAAGCTTAGGGTGTTGGATGTAGGATTTAGGAGTTCAGGCTTAATGAGTTCAGGCTTACGGGTTGGGGTTTAGGATTTAGGGCTTAGTGTTCAGTGGTGTGGGGGTTTCAGGGTATTTAGAGCCTTGCACTGGGGCCTGGGGGTTTGCAGAATTTGGGATGTAGGGTTTGAGAGCTCGGGGTTTAGGATTTGGAGTTTATGTGGTTTCAGATTAACGGTCTACTACAACTCGACTACATGGAGACCGTGTTCTGGCGGGGTCTTGCAGAGGCAGGGGTTATGTGACCATATGGCTGTTTCCTGAGGCCGAGGTCCCTGTGGCATAGCTTCAAACTTGTTACCGGGAAAACTTCAATCGACCATGAAGTTCGGTGCGCGTCATCATGACAATGAACTCACGGAGGCATCGTCTGAATGAAGAGATGCGAGTACTGACATTATGGTACATGCGCCTGCAAAGGAGTTGCCATTTGGAGAGTACTTTTTCCTCCCATACGAAGGGCTCCAGGGATGTTGGGAGCACATCTCGAACGAGGGCGTGATAAGGTCGCGGTAAGAAGTGCTCACAAGTCATATGAGCTATAGCTTTAAAACTTTCAAAAGGGGTGTTATATAGAGGATTGTATAGGGGAGTATTACAGGGGTTACTAAGGGAGATACTAGGATTGTAGACTATAGCTCATATTATGTTTACTACCCCTCGTTGAGTTCTCCCTTTAAGTAGGCCTAAGGCTTAAAGCGGAAACCTTGGGAGGGATAGTATGGGCGGGGTGGTTTGGCCTTCTCCTGGTAAGGCAAAGCGAAAGGTTTAGGGTTTAGGGTTAGGGTTTAGGGTTTAGGGCTGGATTTCCGGCAGGATTCTGTGCATGGCTGTAGCTACGCCAAGCATCCTGTACGCGCCCCAAGAGTCTGGCATCCTTACCAAAAGGACCATAGGCTGTAGGGATTAGTGTTCAGGGTTTCAGGTATAAGTAAGTAGGTTAGTAGCTCCTAGATATTTTTTAGGATTTAGGGTTTAGATTTTAGGGTTGGAGGATCATGGCGACTTAGTAAGTCCGGTAATGGGGATAACTGGGGTTATTTTATGGCTTATAGGGGTGATAAACCCCTACTTACTAAGTCCTCATGACCCTCCAAGTAGGCTGTCGGGGCTAGTGTTCAGGGTTGCAGGGAGGTGACGTCCTGAGAACAAGCACCGGCAGTTTGTAATGGTTCATGGTTAAGGGTTTAGAAACGAGAGTCCCCCAGTGTGACCTAGTACATGAGACAGGACCCATCATTGAGAGAAGCTTCCTGTTTTGGGTGCATCAAGGGAGCCCTCTTGCTTAACCCTGAACCCTAAACCCTAAATCCTAGACTCCTAAACCCTCAACCCCCAAACCCTAAACCCTAGACCCTAGACTCCTAAACCCCTAAACCCTAAACCCTAGAGATGCCAGTACCCCGAGTCCTAAGCTCCAAGTTGGCGGGCCAAGAAATTGCAACAAAATAAGCTGTACGTAGTCTAGGCTCCTAAAAGGGGATTATATAGGGGAGTGTTAGAGGGGTTATTAAAGGGGATACTAGGAATTTAGACTCTAGCTCAGATGGAAGCAAAATGGTACTGACGAGAGAGCCCCTGCAGGTGCTTTCATGAGTAACACGTGTTTAGATTCGGGATGTGTGTTGTGATTGCTTGTGGAAAGGAAGGCTCCATGGTACTTGCGGATAACCCTACACACTATGAGGACAGGTGATCATGAGTCTGAATCATCATCCCGAGGATTTAGGGCTTAGGGCTTCGGGTATGTCGCATGAGCACTAGATGCAGACTGCACTGCTTATGAACACATAACGCGGGCCTCTACGACCTTGAAACCGACACGCATGCCCTTCAGCAGATTTCCATACAGATGTAGAGCTGCCGATGAACGGATGATGAAATCATCAAGCCTGAAAATGGGGGGAGAGTTGTCCGCAAGTAGGGGGAAAACTATCATGGCCGGCAGATTCGCTGGCGCGACATTTCTTTCCGCGAGATACCCACTGCACTGCTGCGAGGACCCATGAGCGCGATGCTTTTCTTCATAATTTCAACTGATGCCCTTAGCATTGTTGTCATGTCCTGAAGATTTGCGATGCAGGTTACGCGGACATCGAAAATCCGGTGTTCTTCCGCGAGACCACTCAGATGCTGTTAGGCGGGCAGCCCTGCAGTGTTTGGACACAGTTTAGGGTTTGGGGTTTAGGGCTTGGAGTGCAGGATTTCGGGTTAGGGAAGACAATATCGGGGTTTCTCAAAATACGGTTGCGCCAGGAATACCAGAGATTGGGTACTGCCCCCCCCCTCAGTAACAGCTGGATAATAACTATAATATGGTTATATATATAGCCCTTAATAGGACCCCAGCGATACTGTCTCCTATTTCCCTAGGAATGAATGTGGGTGGTTGTCAAAATTATGGTCCCTTTTTGGGGTACCCTAAATATTAGGTGCCGTATTATAATAGGGATCCAAAAAGGGACCATAATTTTGACAACCACCCAAGTAGGAATATTCTGGAGTTGTTTTCCAGTTCTCCTTAAAGCATATATTGGAATGTGACATGCGACTCCTAATCTTTCGGGGTGCTTCTGGGGTTTTGGGTGTAGGGCTTAGGGTTGGGGACCCTACGCGTATGTGGGAGAAGCAGCACCTTTGGCTGGTTGGACTTTGATCTCGAGAGTATGCTTATGAATTCCGAGGTCAGCCTGGACTATCCTTAGATACAGCACGGCCAAATAGAACCCTAAGGGTCCAAGTACCTAATAATCATCTACTTACCCAAAACCTGTACTGCAATTAACTAATTTCCTATTACCCAAAACCCAAGTACCTAAATATTGGGTAATTGGACCCTCTGGGGAATACTGCTGTCTTGCTTATGGCTGATGGGAATGCGGACTAGAGTTCTTGAAGTAGTCCGTACATATCTTATATTATACCGCTGAAAGATGCTACTTGTCTTGCTCCGCGTTTTTTCTTTCACTATAAAGTTAGGGCCTCTGAGCTGCTGGATGTATTGGTTACAGGTTTGGGGTTGGACGCGTTTTCAGGGTCTAGGGTTCAGAGAACGCTCAGGATTTGGTTGCAGTATTGATTTTGGGGCTTAGGGGTTCTCCTTATTCATGTTTCTTCTACGGTACTTCTGATAAGGAGCGGTAAGTGTATACTCTCAACACTACGGCCTACACTTTAGCCCCAAGTTTTTCCCGCCCGTTACATTGGTTTAGGGGTTTAGGGGTTTTGGTGCCATTGTTGCTCGCAGTGGCTGAGCGAACGTGTGATTCCCCGCCCAGACTCCTCAACTGTAAATCCTAAACTCCCCCATACCTTCGAGCCCCTCAAACTCTAAAACCCTCAATCCCCTAAACTCCGGAACCCGAGCACTAGCCACGACCTGGAAGGTAAATTCCCTATACTATACACCCGTTTCCATTATCATAATGCCCGTAGAACCCATATACTCCATATACCCCCAACACCTAAACTCCCCAAACCTTGACTCCCAAACCCTCAACCCTAAGCCAACCAACCAACCCTAAACCCTAAACCTTAAATTCCTTTGGCAAGGCGATGGCAAGGCAAGCTGCGAAGGCATCGCAGCGGCGCTGAAGACGAAGAGCGGATGATCAGGCGGGGTTTAGGGTCTTAGGGTTCTAGGGTTTTTAGGCTTTTAGGGTTTAGGGTTTAGGGTCAGGGAGTCTAGCCCAAAAGGCTGGAATACCCAGGAAGCAGGTCATCTGGACCAAAATTTCTGAGCTCCGGTGAAATTATCTACCGTAGAGTTTTCAGGTTTACGGGTTCAGGGCTCAAGGTTTAGGAGTTCAGCGATTTAGGTTTTAGGGGCTTCGGGTCCAGTGGGGTGTAACAAGTTCTCAAAATGACGTGATAGTCTTCAAGCGTTAAGCAGATCTTGAAACCGTAGGGGGCGTCATGATCCACACAGTCCCTCATATCTTAGGATTCCCTAGGGCACGCTGTGAAGCCCCATTGTCATGCGATTACATCTGTAATGCTTTTTGATTTCGAAGCGGGATCCATCTAGGCGCATGGAGGCATCAGCATTCCTTTGACTAAGGATACAAGAGAGTAAAACAATACAGGGCATGCGGGACCATCATGGGTCATTCTATGCGCTCCCTGCACCTGCAGGTCCAGTTGGTACTCTGGCTGTTTTTGAATTGGTAAACCTTGCTCGAACCAAGCCATTCACCCAGTAAACCGCGGGGAGTTCAACAGCAGGAGTAGCACGGCAATAGATTTATGGGAACATTGAATGTTAGGGAGAGGGGGAGGTGTTGCATGTCAGGGGAAGGGGTCTACGCATCTGTTGTCTAACGTGCTGCAGTGGCTGTCTAGATGAGAATCCGTTCGCAAGCCAACTGCTGGCAGGGCTGTTGGGGGGCTTTCTGCAAGCAGCCTCGTCAGTTGCTCATGTGAAGATAAGAGGTTTGTCTGCTTTGCTCTGTGGGGGTGTTAGGAACAGAAGCAAAAGCTTGTTTGGGAACTTGTTATTGCGAGTTGCTATAGGGTTCACAACTACCAAGGAAATGTTTAGCCATTCCTCATTTTCAGGAAGTAAACATGAAGTTGAGCCGGGCTTCACGCGGCGGGTATTGGTGGCAATCTGATTGCACATGTCCTTCAGACCTGTCGTCAATTAACAAATCTCATTTGGTTCAATGCAGTCGGACCAATTTCCATGCTTTTTGGCATTTAGTGTTGTTGTAGATTGGCAAGCAACAGGATCTTAAACCCTAAGTCCAAAACCCTGCAGAACCCCATGGTAGTTGTCCATTTTGATTTCCCCTTTTTCCTATGTAACCTAGATGGCCCTATATTATCCCAATATTGCCTCCGCCCCGCGTTTGGCGAGCAGAGTTTGGGGTTGCCAGCTGCCAATTGGGGTCTCTTAAGGGTAGCCTTGGGCTTGAGAGCCGAAAGAGGAATCAGAACCCAATAAGGTTTAGGGTTTGAGGTTTTCGGGGTTTGGGGTTTAGGGTTGTTTATGATACCGGCAATCTGGACGAAACTTTGCCAAATGCCCTTCGGACAGGATGGTCTTTCTTCCAGGCCTTACCCATTAACCTGCGAACACAATCTGAGGGTTTCCCAAAATGATCCGTCCCTTTTCGGGAGTCCTTTATGCCCTAAATAGGGCTTTGTAGGGATCATGGAAAAGAAAATGGAAGCTACTTTTTAGGGTTCAGGATATGGGGTTTAGGGTTAAGTGTTTAGGGTTTAGGGTTCTATCAGGGTTGATTTCAGAGTGCCCGACTTCTGGAATCTGCTAGAACACTCCAGCTTCCTTTTCATTTTCCATGTTCTTTCCATCTGATTCGCCATCATTGCGGGTAATCTCCCTAAACTCACGAGAGTCCCTATAGAATCCTATGAAACCCTAGCAAGCCCTGTAGAACACCCAACCTAGGTCCTCCACACCATGGAGTACCTGATTTTGTATACAGAAGATCCTAAACTTGAAGTTTGGCGTCCCAAAAGAGGGGAGGGTGTAGGGGTGCACGTATATTTCTAGAAACTTAATCCCAAGCGCTTAAATCCCAAACCTTGAAACCCAAACTCCAAATCCTATATTTGTAGACTCCCTTGTTTTGCGACCAGGCTCACCGGCCAACTTGCATAGACGTTGCAATGCCAAACCATGGAGCACTGGGGTTTATAGTTCCCCTTAAGTAGATAGAATATGGGGTATATGGGGGATCATCTTACAGTATACCCAAAGCCATATTCTATCTACTTTAAGGGGGACTGTAGATACCTTTGGGGCTTTAGGATTTATTGGTTGGGTTTTAGATACTGCCAAGGCAGTTGTTTGTGCATATAGATTTCAGCAGGCAGCTAACAGTAACAGTCTGAAACCCTGGTATCCTCAAAAAGCCCGAACTACTGAAGAAGGAAAACTTCCTGCAGCATGGATCGCCACAGGCAAGTTCGTCCTCTCTTGATCGCAGGATCCCTGCCCCCAAGAGTGGGGCTTTATAGGGCACCACACGGAGCCAAGGAGCTGACGAGGGATCGGGCGGGCGCCAAGCGCCCGCCCGCGCGAGATCCCATAGAGAGATAGCGTGCGGGCGCAGCCTTTGGAATCATTGCACCCTGCCGAATGCTCAACAGAAGCATCTATGGCTATTTCTCGACCCAGCGCTTCGCTTTTTATAACCGTCGAACCCTAAAGTTCAAGCATAGTTTATTCTTTCTGGACTACACTGCAAACTCCCATTTATACCCATTTCATGAAGGAGAGTTGCTCAGTTGATCTAGGAATCCCGTTGCTGTAGAACCCTCATGCTGAGGAAGCTCATCTCGTGATAGCCCTTCCGTACTCGTAGTTCCGTCTACCACCATACCCCTTATTCCAGTTGCTGATGCCAATACAAGTTGGAGGTATATTTGTTGAGGCCTCTTTTTGGGTGTAAATTGTGCAGAGATGCAGTATTGCCAATTTCCCCCATAATTTGCGGCCTCCATAGCACCAAGAGACCATATTTCATACACGCGGTAGAACGAAACATCAAACTACCTTATATAGTTGCGCTGGAGCTTGGCGGTCACTTCTTGAGAAGCAGACCGAAAATCTCCAAATTTTTCCTCAGCATGGAACAGGACATCTTAGCACTGTAATGATCAAGGATGATAACGTATTTTAGTTACCCCAACCCTTCAAAATTAGGACTTTGAAATAGCAATATGGTAGTTATGGGGTCCGTACTATCGAGGGTTGGGATAGCTAAAAAAAAGGTTGGCAAACAAGGCAGGAAAGGCTTCCAACCGTGTCGGTGTAAACAGTGCTTCGACGGTCCTGTTCACGGCCAGATAGTCCATATAGGAATTTAGTAGGTGAGGATTAGTTTTTTCATCCCACCTGTGCGTTGCATAGTGTGGGTACATGCCCGGCTGTACAAGCTACAACAGCATCGCCACCCGGATTAAGATGATCTTCTGCTCGGGTTCGGGTTGCTCCCGGTTCCCTTTACGCGCCAAATTGTCAAATAGAAGAAGACCCCACTGCTGTGCAAAGTTAGGGGTCTGCTGTAGGGCCTCTTTGCTCACAAGGTATGATCTTCGTGTAATCCCTGCAGACCCTGTATAGTCCCTGTTCCATTTCCCGCAGTCTTACTCTAATCTTATGGGTTCCCTAACCACGCGTCCTTTCTACTAACCTTTGAGGTTCTGTTAATGCTTCATGAAGGAGGTAGTGTAGTGGTGTGATTGGGAACATGTGACAGAGTTCTCTTTCTGCTACACGACCCAAGTGCGAAGTATGCTGCAGCGAATGCACGTATTGAAAGTCTTGTTGACGATGCTCCAGTTCCGATGGCCCCGCTAACGCAGCTGCCGCTGCCACCTCCACTGGTACCATAAGGTTACTTGTACACTTCTACTCCTTACCACCACGGCGGTCATTGATACTCAAAGTATAGCCAAAAATAGTTGGACCATCAGTGCACCCTCCCCCAAGACGCGGGAGCAGGAAGAACCAGTACAACTCAGCTTTGGCTCTCCAACGTTTTGGCATTCCATGTGCTTCTATTCGTCAGGGGTCCCATCGCAACCGCTACCACTATGATCACGCGTCCTCCGCAACAACACCTACGCTGCCCGTCCTCCTCTTCTCACCTGTGACATCTCCCTGTACATTCCCCAACCCTCAGTTCTCCCTAGGACATCCCCATATAATCCCCATCATCTTCCTAGAATGTCCCGACGCACTCCAGTTGTCATGAGAATTAACCGGGCCAGTTCGAAAAGAAGGCCCCGTTTCTGCATCCCAACTAGTATATGCCCTACAAAGCATATGGCTTAAGGCTCAGGGTTTAGGGCAATAGAACCCTAATATAACCCTAATATGACCCTAATATACCCTAATATAACCCTAATATAACCCCAATATTACCCCAGTGGGTACATGGTGCAGTAGAATAGCCCAAATGTGCGCCCAGGGAGGTCGGAGGCCGAGTTCGTCTTTCCGCAAGGTCAACCGGTCTGCCAGCAAGGACGCTGGGTCGGCCTGGTTTCCGAAGCGGGGGGAGGGAGGGAATGCAGGTGCTAGGTGCGGTCTGTTATAACAACAACAACAACAACAACAACAAGAACAACAAGAACAACAAGAACAACAAGAACAACAAGAACAACAAGAACAACAAGAACAACAAGAACAACAACAACAACAACTACTACTACTACTACTACTACTACTACTACAACCACAACAACTACAACAACAACAACAACTACAACAACAACAACAACTACTACTACTACTACTACTACAGCAGCAACA